TGGCAGGAGGAAGGCAGAGCCCGGCTGGGCTTTGGAGCCCCATGGCCGGCCCTGTGGGCTGGTTCCCCAAGCACGGTAGATCAGCTCCAGGGATGGAGAGCCGAGCAGAACCTGGAGGGAGGACTCCTGCTCGGGGGTTGGCGTGGCAGCATTGCTGGGTTTTAGAGGTGGAGGTGGCAATGTAGGCAGAAGGGTTTGCGTGGGGCCTGTTTTGGGGCAGAGGCAGGGCACCCCAGGTGGTGGGGTAGGAAGGTGCGACACAGCCTGGGCTGACCACCAGCAGCTTTAACACTTCGGGTGTAGGCCACCGGCTCAGACCCCCTGCGGAACAGCTTTGCCCATGCCTCCTCGCCAGCCGTGCAGCCTACACACGAGTTGGGGCAGGATCTGCGCTGCTCCTTATCTGCACAGCAGAGAGAGAAATCCTCAGGAGGAGCGCGTTATTTCCTGCTATAAAGACCTGGGGTTTGCAGCCCCCCTGCCGCAGTTGGTTCCTTTGGGGAGATGGAAGCATAACAGGGTTTTGGTGGGAATTTCTTCCCAGTCTTAGGCTGAGTGGGACAGAAAATAACCAGCAGCAAGGGCACATGCTGGCAAGGGGTCTCCAGATACTGCTTGTCTTCCAGAAAACGGGGGAACCTCTGGGGGGATCCCTCTGCATCTGGACAAGCGCCTGTGTTCCTCCAAGGTCTTTTTCAGAACCTGCTAGCAACATCGCTGGGATCGGACCTGAATTGCTTGAGTTTTCAGTGACTGTGGCCTCTGACGTGGATTACATGCAGCAGAAGAGGCAGCAGCTTAGTCTTGACATGGTTTTGTGTAACGGCAGCAGTATGATGCGACTCCACTGTGATGCAAATACAGTTATATTGACCAACAGCTCATGCTACCCTGTTCGCTGCCTGTCACATCATTAATCAATTGCTTGAAGATTAAGGGGCGAGCAATGGCTCTTTAGAGCTCTTGGCTAAAAGGCATTGCCTTTGCCTGCCTTGACAGGGGCAGAGGGTGGGGGGGCTCCTGGGGCTGGATGCAAAGTCATGTCTAGCTGTGAAGAGTTAACTTGCGTGGATGGTGACCGACTCTTCGGGCACTAGAAATGAGGAACAGGTCAGGAAAGAACAGCGGCTCGTTGTCTGCGCAGGAGTCAGCCCTAGTGGAACCCCTCGCTGAGGGGACGCTGAAAGTTCACAGGGGCTCGTGGAGGAACCGGACAAGCTCATGGGGGAAAAACCCATTCGTGTGCTGAATGTGTGTGAAAAACGCGCAGTTCGGGAAGTCTCCTGGGCTGAAAATGCTCAGCACGAGGGCCTGGACGAGGCAAAGCAAAGCTCGGCTCAGAAAGGGCTTTGGATCTGTGAGCCAGGCGGGGTCAGTTGGGGGAGGTGAGGCAGGAGTAGCTTTACATTTTGGTTGCCGGGATGTTGATCGTTTTGTGTCCAAGTGCCTAGGTGGGCTCTTGCAGTGGTCACCGCAACATCGTGGTCTTGGACAGATGGTAGGGGGGCAGCAAGTATTTTTGTATTTATTGTCTTCAAAGTACTCTCGAGCTCCCAGGGGAACAGCAGCGTGAAAAGGAGATACATCGCTAAAGCCTTTTGAAAATTGCCATTCTTCTCCACAAATTATCCATAAGCTGATGAATAGATAAAGAAAACAGCTTTTTACTCATCCACTTGACTCTAAAAATGGAACAGAGTAATCTATGGCCTTTAACTCATAATGAGTTGTGAAGAGTAGGGGGATAAGAAAGTGATAGCCGTCCTTTTCTCTTTTAGGTGGGCGGGTTCCCTGGGTGTCTTGCAGCACTCAGACCGACCTGCTGCCAGCGAGGAGTCTCGTCTTTGGGTTCGGTGTCTGCAGCAGTGGTTGGAGAATAGCTGCGTTGCCGGGGGACAGACCGATGCCAAAACGAGGGGTGAGGTTGGGGGTGTCGGACTGCCAAGCCTGGGCCTGATGATGCAAAACAAAGCAGAAGGGAATTTCAGGCAGTGGCTTAAGTGGGGTTCCCTGCTTAACCCCTGTTCATCATCTGCAGAGCACGGCGCTGAGGCTTTATGAGAGGACATGGAGAGTGGTGGGCTGCTAGGAAGTGAAGGAAGAGGCTCTTCCCCCAAAGCCGCATCCAGGCTGGGAGATGAGGGCTCTGCAGGAGTCACTACTGCCCCCGAGCTGCAGTGCCGGGGTGTCTCCCCTGGTCCTGCTGCCCTCTGCTTGAGGCCCAGAGAACATTGCTGGGCGAGGAGGAAATAGCAGAGGTAAAGCACGGACATTGCCTGGCGTTTCCCTCCGGGCGTTGTCTGGCTGTGCGAGATACCATCAAGCCTTTGTCATAGCGAAATGTGCAAAATCCCTGCTGCCTTTTCAGAGGAAACGCAAGGAAGCTTCAGTAACCGCAGGGACTCAGCGGAGAAAACCAGTGGCGACCTGGCAGCATGTTTCTTTCGGCAGCTGGGGGGAAAGTTCTGAAACACTTTGAAATGGGACAGGAAAAAAACAGAAAACTGTGCTCTTGCATCACGAGCTGCAGCGCTAGGTTTTGCTGAGAGACTGTGGAACGGCTTCCACTGGTGTTTTTTAAAATGGAGAAATAGCTACTGGACGTGCTGTGTTTGGGCAGCTGGGTCCTGTCCCGGCATGCAGGTTTGGCCTCGGTGGCATCCTGAAGTCCCTTCCAGACCTGCATTTCTGTGCTTCCTACCGCGCTGTCGGGCATGGCTCGGTAAAACAAGTGTGCCGGCGTGGTGTGGTGTGGTGGAGAGGAGACGGAAGCGCTGGGGTTTGAAGGTTGGTGTCCTCTCCCAGCTGGGCGCCATTGGCTTTCAGGGACCTCTGGCTCTCCAGGGATGCAGATCCTACGAACACGCCAGGGAGCCGCTTCCCAGTCTCTGGCCCATGAGGGGTCTGCTTGGGGAGTGGGCTCGCCCTCAGCCTTGCTCACCTACAGTACGGTTGGTGCTGAATTTGTCAGTCAGCTCTTTGTCCCAGCAATACTGTAGGCAGTAGGAACGGTGCTGTATTGATGGAGAGGTGGGGGCATGTGAACCTCATGAGGTTCAACAAGGCCAAGTGCAAGGTCCTGCCCCTGGGTTGGGGTAACCCCCAGTACCCACACAGGCTGGGGGAAGAAAGGATGGAGAGCAGCCCTGCCGAGAGGGGCTTGGGGGGGCTGGTGGATGCAAAGCTTGACCAGGGCGCGTGC